GGGGGTAAGGGTTGTGTGAAGAATTGTGAGACATTGTCGACAAAAGAGACCCAGCAAACAGAAGTTATTTGCGAGCAAGAGGGAAAGTCACGGTTGTGCAAGGAACGATTTGTTGGAGGGGCAGTTGTGTAAGGAAGGATCTGGTGAGGAGGGAGTTGTGTGAGGAAGGATCTGGTGGTGGGAGAGTTCGATTGAGGAAGGATCTGCTAGTAACTAGGAACAGCTGATTGATCCCTTTCTGGACCAGGAACAGCTGACTGATCCCGTTCTGGGATCAGGACCAGGAACAGCTCATTCATCCCTTTCTGGACCGGTAAACTGAAGCAACAACAGGTGGTTGAGATTGGTGGCCATGAGTCTGAGTGTCGGGCTGTCTGGTTTCGACAAGCAGCAGTACCTACCGGCGGTGAAGAGCCTTTTGGAAGATCCACTATTACAAGATGTGTCCAAGAAGCCGTCTCTGAAGGAAGTAGAAACGTTGATCGCTATGGATCTTGGAAATGCGATGCGGCTCACGATAAATCGACTGGATGGAACGTCGTTTGAAGTGATGGTCTTGGATAATGCGACTGTCGGGGATCTGAAGATGGCCATCGAGAAAGCATTCAGGGACAACAAGACGCTGAGTAGTCGGCAATGTCGGATCTCATGGCGATATCTGTGGGGTCATTACTGCCTTTCAGCAGACGGGCAGCGATTGCTAGATGACAAGGCACCGCTCCATAGATTTGGAATAACAAATATGGCACTCCTTCAGTTTGCGCACCATATCTCCGGCAAGGGGGGAGGGAAACACTCGCGACCAAGGAAGAGGCGGTTCTTTCGTGTCGGGAGTGGAGAAAAATAAAAACTCGCAAGTTCCAGCCCTGCTCAGTGACTTGATGTTTATCAGCCTATCTTACTTGAGGTCATCTGTGGCAGTCTCGCACTGTGCGCCAAGCCACCATAGGCGAGTGGTTTCCTCCATCACATCACTCCTTCCAGTGGAGGGATTGCAGCTTGGGGTGTGGGCGTGGGGGGCAACTGGCCCGGGTTCTTCGTTGCTGCCCATTGATCTTCGTAATCTATGGTCAGAAATCAAGAACCGGAATGACTGGCACCTCAACCTGGGGACAATTCTCGTCTTTTGCTACGTAGGATGCTGATAGTAATGCAAAAGAGAGAAGATTGGGTGGAAGAGAAAAATTTGCAATGTGGATTCGTCAATGTGAGTTATATATAATGCATACATAGCAATGGCATGTTCTAGCCACAGATTGGTTTGTGATGAGGGTGCGTTGGCGGCATGCTGGGGGCGTTGACGACGTGACGAGGAAGAGGAAGGAGGAACGACGGACAACCGAAGGTATTCTGCCACGTTTGGGGATTCGATCCACTGCACTGCTCGTCTTCACCCGAATAGAACGCCCGGTCATTATCACCGTATTTAGACTGAAAAATTTTGCCCGAAATACAGCTATAATGACCGGGCGTTCTATTCGGGTGAAGACAGGTAGGAGAAATGAGAAACAAGCAATGCGAACACAGCTTGTGGTTGAGCGATACGAAGACACACAGCTTGTGCTTGAGTCGTCACATCGATGGCTATGATGACTCAGCAGCAGCGGTGGGGTTCATTTCTTCAATTGGTAGTGCAGCGGAATGAGGCCGGAGATTGTCGACGGCACGGAAATCTCCCAACAGCAGCTGGAAAGCCTGATGACGCTCGGGTCGGGGATTCCCAAGCACGTGAGGGTGAGGGACATCCCGTGGGGGAGTGCGATGTGATGATGAAGCACAGCACAGCTGGAAAGCAGAGCAAAAGGTGAATGTATGACGGCAAAGCACAACGGCTGGAGAAGCAGAGAGGGAAAGAGTAGTAGGACGGAGAAGCACAGCTGGAACACAGAGCAAGAAGATTGAGAGGGCGAGAGGGGCGAGATGTGGTGGGACGGCAGGCAAAAGGTATGACATGCAGAACGTCATTCCACAGTCGGATGGCGCCGTGACACAATCGGATGGCGCCGCCATGACACAGTCCGATGGCGCCAATGATGGATGGCACGATCGGATGGCGCCATGACAACACAGCACACAGTCGCCACCATGACACCACAATGCCCATGTGGTGCCCCGTCGCCACACCACTCTCGAAATGTGCAAAACGAGAATGAACTTCCTGGTAGAACATGGCCAGATGCACCCGCCACAACTTTGTCTTTTTCACATTTCGAGAGTGGTGTGGGGAGGCCCACAATCTGATGGCGCCGACATGACATGATCCGATGGCGCCGCCATGACACAATCCGATGGAGCCGCCATGACACAATCCGATGGCGCAAATGGTGGCACAATCGGATGGTGCCACGACAACACAGCACACAGTAGCCGCTATGACACGACAATGCACGCGTGGCGCCCCATCGCCACACCACTCTCGAAATGTGCAAAACGAGAATGAACTTCCGCTAGAACATGGCCAGATGCACCCGCCACAATTTTTGTCTTTTTCACATTTCGAGAGTGGTGTGGTGAGGCCCACAATCGAATGGCGCCATGACGCAATCGGATGGCGCCACCATGCCACAATCCGATGGTGCCAATGATGGCACGATCGGATGGCGCCATGACAACACAGCACACAGTCGGCGCCATGACACCACAATGCGCACGTAGTGCTTCATGAGAACAAAATACATACGTTGCGCGTCAAGACAGCACAGTGCACACTTGGCGCCATGACAAGACAACGAAGACTTGCCGTCATGTCAAAAGAAAATCATGAACACTCGGTGCCATCATGAACGAAAGGTGAAGGCTTGGCGCCGTTGCAAAACACACTTGGCGCCATGGCCAGAGAATGAAAACTTGGCGCGATCACCAGAGACAAAGATGAACCCTTGGCGCCATCACAAAACACACTCGGCACCATGACCAAAGAACGAGCACTTGGTGCGATGAGCCACCTGCTTTTTCCCAGTATAGAATTCTTTCCTGAGTTGGTGGTCTGATGGGAAACCGTGCATGCTATATTGGGAAAATGCTCAGGCTTAGCAATTTGTTACGATCGTGGTCATTTCCAAAGTGCAAATTCACAATGCCACCCAATTGCGAAAGAAATGAAAGCACTTGCAAAGAGATAGAGACCAAAGCAGAGAGAGAGAGAGAAGAAGACGAAGAAGAAGAAGAAGAAGAAGAAGAATGACCAATCCCCCTTCTCACTCCACCTTCCTCCTCCTCCTTCACTTCACCAATCTTTCTTTTTTTTTTTTTTTCTTTTTT